AAGAATTGACTCTAGAGTGCATATTTTGTGTCCATGAAAAAACTATTACAGAAAATATTACAATATTAAAGAACTGTTCTTGTTGATTTGATGAAAACATTTTAAATTCCCAGTGCACTCATGTCAGAWTAACTTATAGATTTGTTAGAATAATCGATTAATCGAAAAAATCGTTAGCTTAATCGATTAGAAAATAATCGTTTGGTACAGCACTACTTGCAATAAATGTGTTTATATGAGGATGCAGAGAGCCATGTTTCTCCTCCCACAGCTTTCTGGTCCACTGAAAAAGGCTTGTGGATAAAACGAAAACACAAACATAAAAAGGAGATCTCTAAACCTTTTTTACTCCAAAATATTCAAGGAGCTTTACTGTTGTGCTGCATCAGAAACCTAGGCCTCTGGTTTTAAACCACAAGTACGGACCCCACACTTCTTCTATGAGGAGTAGAAACAGAGCAATATGTATGTGCGCATTTCCATTTACCTGCTACAGTGCATTATGTGACCAATCATTATTTTGAAGTGACGTTTTTCCACATGGTTGCACTGAGGCAACTTCAGAATAAAAAGGTGAAAAGGAAAAAGGATATCCGTGATCAAGCATCACATTAAAAAATGTTAAATCTGTGATTTCAGTTACACAGGCAGCTGTAGCCCCTTTCACAGAAATATTTAAGGCGAGAGTGAGACGTCTTCTCACCATCCCGTGTTGTTTATGAAAGGACTGAGGCAGCATGAGAGTTAAGTCAGTCTGCCACTGTTACATCTCTACAGCAGTATCACAGAACCATTTGGTGAAAGAGACATATGAGTAAACCACTTTCAGACAGCAGCTGTAACAAACTTTGCACGAGCTAATTATTGACAAAAGCAGGTCTTGAAATGCTAAGAGTAAACTTTGTTGTTGTGAGCTTAAAACACAATAAGATTTTCATTGAGCTATCATAAAAATAAAAATCTGCCATGTTGTTGCAAAGCAAACTGAAAAATCCATAGACAAAATTTAAGCAGAGAACATAAAAACATGACACACAGCTTTCACAAAAAGCAGCTGCATCAACACGCACCAAGAATCACACTAGTGAGCATTCGAGGCAAGCTGTGTGCCAAAAATAACCAGATAACTCATCATTAAAAGGGGGAAGCGCCTCATATTAAAGTTGCTTTACACTTGTTATGCATTTGTTCCAGTCAGTATTTATCTAGTTTTTTGCTGACTATTTCTTGAAAAACATTGCTTTACTCTTCATTATAAAACAGGGTTGTACTTTATCGGAGAAAGTTCTATTCTTGTTAATTTTTTATGTTTGAAACAGGGTCCACATTGTGCAATTTAGTGGGGTGGGGTTGAATATGTAAAGAAAGACTGAATAATTGTGAAATTCAGTGATTTATTTTAGCTAAAGGACCAACCCCTACATAAGTTGTCTTACAGCAATAAGTCCAGCCTCTGTTAAATCTTTTCTCATACTGTGTGACATAGATTATTACCAAGATTTTAGAACTTCAAGCGCACAGTGTGTCTAGTAATATTTCTTCATGACAGGCAAAAATAGCACAATGCGAGTCAGGCATAATGTGAGAAATTTTGTCAAATAATTCTAAAAAATAATAGGGATGCATCGACATGAAAATTTCAGCCAATATCAATATCTGATATAATTAATGATGTTGTGGCCGATAACCGATATTTACCGATATTACACAAACACACAAATTATATTATACATAAACGCACAAACACACCTGTTTTTTTTTTTTTGATACTGTAAATAAACAACCAGACCTCTGACATGGCTCTCTACTTCAGTTATTCCTGACTACTCAGCGTCAACATCACTATCATGATCAAACAGATGCCACTCAACCAACCATCTCCACTCCCAAAACAGAAACACAAAGTTAAAAGTGGGAAATCAATATCAGACATTAATATCGGCCCAGTTTTACGTATCTGACCGATACAGATATTCTAAAAATTGACCAATATTGGCCAATACCGATATCAATTAACCAACAGAAAAACATTATTGATTACTGTTTGGCACTTAATACGATTAATGCCACCAGGCAGACTGACTGGAGATTTCCCCGGTCAGTSAAATATGAACATTTTTTTTAAGTTCTGTAATTTATTTATCAAAACTCTAATTTTACTTGGTCTACCTACACAATTTAAAAGTTGATGTAAAAAATGTTGAAGTCTGTACTTTTGACACAATTTGAAACAATTTTTTTACAGAGAGCAAATCTTTCCCACTAGAATGATTTAAATTGGTCATGTGACTAGGACATGCAGGCATCCAGGGACTCCAGGGGATTAATTGTCATATTAATCGTTATCGGCTAAATACCACAGTTAATCGTGATAAATTCTTTTGCCAATATCACCCAACTCTAGTATAGAGAATATTTCAAAAAAAAAAAAAAAAAAATTCAGAGTATGAAACATAAAACAATTAGGAAAGTTAAGTTACAGAATTGATATTGAAATTAAAAAATATAAATGTGTGGATTTAACAGGGTTTAAAACTAAGCTCATTTCTAGAATGTTCTATATAATAATCTTGTTTGGAGGTGCAAGGGGTTTAAATGGATTTTTTTTTTAAAGTACAGTAAAACATGCAGCACTTGTGAAGTAATCCAATCATCCGAGCAAAGTAGACAAAGGCCCCACATTTGAATACAGTAAGGGCCGATTTCTGTCATGGCTGGTACGGATGATAAAGTGGTGCTGAAATGGAGGCGAGTGGTGAACTGAAAAAACACCAGACAATTTTTATTAAGATTTCACAGCTGCTGTGAGTCCCTCACACTCCTCATAGGACTTCACATGTCTGACTGGGTCTAACATGAAGAACTTCTAGCAAATACTACAGCAAAAACCTATTGCGCAATAATGATCAAAACATTCACAAGCTTAAGAGATGCAGCTAGGCACACAATGTTTAAAACATCACAATAATCCACAACAAACCCAAGTTGCCTCAATCYAGCAAACAAACAAATGTTCTTATAAAAACGCCAACTGGTGGTTCTAAACTACACAATTATTTAAAAACAAGCCAAGATCAAACCATATTTTCAGTTCTGTGAAAAATATGTTAACCGTCTCTGGATTCAGAACCATTTTATATCTAAAAATAATATTTTTGAAGTCTGTACAAAATATCACCATATCCACCAAAGCTTTGTCAGATATACAATGAGGACAAGGGTTTATCTGGATTTAGGCAGCAGGACGTGAGGATATTTAACTGAGGCCCAGTGTTAGGGTGACTGACATTCCAGTGTTTTTAGAACACCCACTCARCCACCCCAATCTGAACCGACAATTGTCACATCGTTCTGGTTTTAGGGSACCATAAAAGGGATTCAGGGTCTCTGGCAAGTTGCATCTAGTTGTCAGCTTTAGCACAGGAAGGCTGGCAGGTGGGAACTCAACAGGATTAAGGCCAGACCTCCTTAGGATGGCTTTGAGTAGTAATGAGGATGATAGTCAGATGCACATTTGTATTTGTACTGGAGTGGAACCTGGAGGGATTTCCCTGTAGGAAGCACAAGACAGATGGATTAAAATAATCCAGCCTGAGAGCACAATATTACCCTCCCAATAGTGTTTGGGAATACATAAGATCCCCCCTTTGTGGTTGCAAAAAAAAATAAAAAATCAGACTAAGCATGGCTGGAGTTGCAAGTATGACATTAAAAGCAAATCCAAACATGAAAACAAAAAGCAGGTTGGTCTCTAAATTAGTATAAAAACAAACAAACAAACAAGTACAAGAGATAAGCTTCACCTTTCACACAAAAGCCAAACTGCCATATTATGGTGTGATTTRCAAACAAGAGAGCCAAAACAAAATAAGTAACTGTGAAGGTTTTACAAAAACAGAAGATTTCTACACTTGTAAAAAAATATATATATATAGTCACACGATGATGAAGACAAATTTGTTTCAAAAGTATGCACAAGTGTACAAGATTGTATGTGTGTAAGATCCACAAGCATGCAAGATTCAAAAATGCACACAATGATCTACAAATGCTTTTGACTTGATCTATAAATGCATACATTTTTTGAATTGTACACTGGGTTTGGGCAAAATTGTATCACAAAGAAATGTTCAGATTGGAATCCAGAATAATATGCAAAAAAAAAATTAAGTTCTCAGTTAAATGTATTTTTTTTAAGTTCTCAGTTAAATGTATTTTTTTTAGAACTATTGACTCCTTTTAGAGCCTATCTGTGGCTCTGGAAGTCTAAACAAAACGGCCACCAATCAGGTTCTCATAATATTTAAAGAAAACCTGGTCACACCCACAGGAGGTGGTCCCTCTTATGAATTGCAATGCCTGCAATGTAAAATATTACGTTTACTCTGCTGCAGAAGTGCAATTGCCTTCCATTAATTGTCATATTTATTGTTATCGGCTAAATCCCGCAATTAATCGTGATCATTTTTACGGCACTTTCGGAAACCCTATTGTAAACATTTCAAATGGCCCAACTACAATTACATTACTTGTGCCAATTGTCAAATAAGCTTCTGCCTGTTACAAATGGTAGATGCTTGGGCGTTGCGACTTTGACACTTTTGTTTTTACATTTTGACTATGTCTGGGGAAAACTCACAGTTCTGCCTTTCCTTTCATATCCAGCTAACTCATTTTTATTTAGACTGTATTCTTTGTGCACCTGAAAATGAAAGAACTATTAAAACTAATAAATTTACAAATTCTATTCAGGTAAGTAGTTAGTTTGTCACAATTTTCCTATACATGCAAACATAC